TGGGAAGAGTCGCGGTGATGCTGTAGAGTGGCCCACCAAATACATTAGCGCCAGGTACATTATATTGACGTGTTTCCCTAGAAAGAAACCCAACAGCCTAACTCACTAATGAAATCACCGACACGTTTAAAATATTCCGAGAATAGATCAGAATGGACAATCTTTCCCAAGCTTACTAATCAGGTACCACTAACTGCGAAGTTTTCAGAAAACGGAAACGTAAAACAAGATCTCAGAAATCACTTGATCATATCACAAAGACGGAGACCTTCTTTGATCGAAATAGGTGAGTTTTTTATGCTTTACTATGCTTTACTACATGTATCGCTACCCAGCTACATTAAGGATTGAACTGTTTTCATTGCCCCCCCCCCTCCCTAGAAAGAACAGAGATTCGGTAACATTTATCAAAAATGTTTTTAGATTCGTACAAATATTGGTGAGAGGGAGAAGATAAAGGGAAGGGAGGGGACAAGGAGGGAATGGACAAAGAGACAGAGAGAGTAGAGGAAGAAAAGAGTACTCACAATCAGTTGCAAATCTTCTGAGGCCTCGGTTGTACGCACGCGCTTTTATTAATACTAGAGTAGGATACAGCATAGGGAATGGTGGTACGGCCCATTCCCGCAAACTACCTACCACCTTACCAAATTCTTCCAAGTCGTCAAACAACTCCTCTAACTCACCAGACGGGGGAATTCACGAGAGGTCAGCAAGTGAGGAGAATTCTCTCGCGACTTGGGAATGTTTTTTTTGAAACCAGATATGCCCCTCACCGGCAAAACACGACCTTCTTCCCTAACAGTCAAATATAACTGATCGATGAGATTTTCCCAACGTTGTTATACCGCTTTTCAAATGGAATGACGTACATTATTGCTATATTCCTCAAGTTCCATTTTTCGGAAAGAAATCCTTCTTTGAAAAAAATGTTAGAGACACGTCCCGCAGTCACAAGTGATGGAGCGGGGCTCAACTAAGGATGGCAATGTGGGAAGTGTCTCAATACTGAACCATAATGCAGAGAGAAACTGTCCAAAATAACCTAGAACTCCTGCCGATCCGAAGCGGCCATACTTGGGAAATTTGTCCTTTGTGGCATCATACCCTTATGAGCCCTTACCATTTGACGTTCATCAATCCAAACGGAAAAGAGCTAGAAGCAAAACAACAGCGCCGCCAGGAAACTTCCAAAATGAACGTTGGGGGAGTATGGAAGGGCGGAGCATCGCCTTTGTCATGAGCAGCGTCCTTAGTATTTTTGAACCGCGAAAGTGATACATTCTTTATGCTTACTGACTCCATTATGCTGTCCACGGGAGGTCTCTGCCCATGAAGTGAACGCGGTACGCGCCTTCAAGTAAAGTCTTCATAATGATCATTGTTATACACGATGTGAGCGCAGTTTGGCTAGGATGGGGCATTTTACATTTTTGCTACTTCCTATTGTTAGATGTCAAATAACAGGTCTCACTTTGGTGAGACCTGTAAATCCCCGTAAAGCTGCGGAGCGGTGCGAATGAGCTACGTGGTAACAGAAATTCGCTGGCTTTCCTAGGTGGCCTTAGTTGAGCACCAGTCAGTGCCCCACCGAGCCGAACTGCGCCCATGATGTATTGGACTTACCATACAATTAAATAACCTACTTTTTGGAAAGAGCAGCCAGCAGCCTTTCTCACCTGCTTTCCTAGCTGCCTTAAACCCCTCCGTTTGGAGCCTCTAAAATGTTTATTATGAAAACCGCTTTATCCGGAGAGAGCTGTTCATTTCAGTAGTGGTGAATCGTCGGAATCCGATGACGACACTGCATTGGGTCAAACCACGGTCTGGATAGGAAATGACGATGGCGAGTGAGTGCAGTGAAATTCAAAATTCTTTTCTCCATTTTCTATTTGCATGTCTTTAGAGGAAGAGTCATGTTCGCTGCGAATGCTGGAGCGTGCCAGGGAAGGGGATGCTGAGTTTGGCGCGGCGCCAGCTCGTTCCCCAGCAATTGTTGGAGGGGCAGACGACAACCCCTTACGTTTTCACCAGAGGTTGTCGTTTGCCACTCCAACAATTGCTGGGAAACGGACTGGCCGCCGCGCCAAACCCAGCCCTTTGAGATGCGCCAGCATCCGCAGAGAACATGACTGTGTGTCCGCTTGCGACCTGATTCAGTAACTCTTTAGCCACACCTTCTCCAACTGTGAAACATCCACAGGGTTCATGAGATACCATCTGAATGCCAGCTGACTTCACATGGAAACCTTCAGTTATTAATTTTCCGATCAGACTTTGTATGTGGTCACGATTTCCAGAGTTTTTGTGGTGAATTCCACGGAACGAGTGCGGACGAGAGCGCGAGAACGAGTTGCTCGATTACCGTATCCAGTCACTTCTATCGCCTCTGCTGCTGGTTACGTCTATGTTGCTACAGCAAGTCCAACTAAAGTGCAGTTGTTACGGTTTTACACTTCAGCAGGTACTCTACTGGAATTTCAATTAATTTTTGATGGTATTCAAAGTATTTTGTCGCTTTTGAGAAGGAATATTGGGACTTAAAGACAATTCCCGCGATCAAGTGTTCGGGTAATTGGTGCTCAGTCACGAAGCAGTGGCCCATTTGTAACCCCCAGTGGAAAAAAAATCGAAAAAAAAACCTCGCGAACACCCTGAACACAGACCTCCCTTTAGCAGTGGGGGCGGGGCCTGGACGAGTGTGCCGGACGTGGCTGCCAGAAATCGATGCGGCAGCCGCAATTGCGTCCCGACTTTCGAAATAGGATACTTTAAAGGGACGGAAAGCAGCTCGGGACCGGACGCCTCGTCCACCTACCGTGTCAGCGAGCCTAGCGAGCCTTGTGGAAATCGCTATAACTTCCTTATCGCGCCATATTGAGGGATGAAAGTGGTATCATCTTCGTCAAGGCGTAGAGGGTTCCAAAAAGCACGAAGTCATTTTGAGGACCACTTGATCGCGGGGAGTGTCTTTAAGGAGTGGTCCCGTTTGAAGGCGCTGAGCATGCTGATCGTGTGGAAGGAATAGAGCCTTCCATTATGCTATCCTCAGTGGTGCATCTCTCGTTCTAATACGGCATAGGGAGAGGTGCTGACGAGGAAGGCGATGTTAGGGCACATTCCGCCTATACGATCAGCGCGGACTTCGCCATAAAGTCATGGTGAATCTAGTGTACCATTTTCAGATGGAGTTTGGGAGTTGGACTCGCCAGTCACGATCGCTCACTCGTTGCTTCACCCCATTTTGGCTATGTGCCAAGTGGGCAGACGGCTGCTGCTCACGAGCGGTCACCAACTACACGCCATGGACTTTGAAGGGACTGTATGGGAGGTACTGTTAGCTTTTGTCAGTACTGAGCCTTTTACTTCTCTCACTAAAAGTTAACCAAAAGAGGTTCCAAAAACAGATGCGCTGGTGGGTGGCAGCTTCGAAGTTTTCCTACCGCTGACACCGGAACTGCCACTGCGCCTCTATACCAATATACTGCTCTAAAAGCTATTTTGGGTTACACCACGTACTGAGAAAAAGGTGCAGATATACTGTTTCAGAAACCGGTCGACGTTGTGCCGACGTCGGATTCACTGCATCTGTTAGCAACTGCCGGTTCGGTACTGTTCTGCTGTGGACGACGATCGACGAGCGTTCATGTGGTGGATGCTTTTTCGCTGAAAGTACTCAACCATTTCAGTATAGCTGCTTGTGTACGAACACAACTGGCAGGTTAGAACTTACTGCACTTTTTAGTCCACTTCTGAGTTCTTTTGAGTTATATAGTTCGCGCTCCTCCTGTAGGCGGAGATTCATAACCTTACTGTTTTCGTGTTTCGTGCGCCCCTGCTTCTGGGCCAAAGAGGGCAGACGGGTCGATGAGAGGGGGTGGGGCATTCCGTTCATGTCTTCTCTTACATAATCAGCGTGGACTGTGCCTTTGGATCTTTCCAACGCAGTTTTGAAGATTTCGTCGACGAGATTGAGCGCTGTCTATAGAGTGAGCCTTTGGGATCAAATCCTCAAAAACTGAACCAGACCGCTCACAAACCCGAGGTTCCTGAGTTGCTTCTGTCGCCCCCTTTTTAGGGGTAGGGCGTGCTTCCAACAATAAACTTGCACTCGCAATGTGATGACGCTGTTCTGGATTCTAGGCAGCCAAATAGATGCGCCCTGGTCACCCCAAGTGGTTCAAGTGGTTGGACACCTGAACCCGCTAAGGCCCCGACCATACCTCCAGCGCGTCTGTGCCATGCATGGGTACAATTCAGTGTTTTCGAGAGTTAGAATGATAAAAGGCGCAGTTCCGCACGGGTAGCATTTCGCTACAGTCATGATCCCTGCAAATGATAGGGCTTGCGACGGAGCGTGGATTGAAACGCCCAGGGAGCTCTTTCCATTAAAGACTTTCCCCGCGATCAAGTGGTCCTCAAAATGGCTCCGTGCCTTTTGAACTGTTATACGTGTTCATAAAGAACATACCACTTTCATCCCTCAATACAGCGCGATAAAGAAGTTAGAGAGATTTCCGCGTGGCTACAGAGGCAACATCATACTGTAGGTGGACGAGGCCACGGCTCGCGAGCAGATTCTATCCCTACAACATCCCCGCGCGGCACGTCTCTTCTGGACTTTGCCATTTT